TAAATAATTCTTAAAAAAAAAAAAAAAAAAGGAAAAGAAATCTATGTTGAGATATTCATAGTCCATTACACATACTAGTCACAAGCTAGAAATACCCAGAGGGCCACCAGTAGGTAAGCCAGAGTCTCTGATACCAAGACATGTATATACGTCAGTTCATCGTGGTCTGATAAAGACACATTTTGGGCATCTAAAAAGGAGCTGAATCCCATATGACCTGGCAGCTTGAAAAACACTCTGAGCATGCGTGCTCTGTGCCTCGAATCTCAACAGGATGGAGACACCGAGAAGAAACTGCAGCAGACCGTGTCTCCTCAGGGGTGCTTTCTCCTTCTCCCTTCCTCTCTGGCTCTCTCTGGTGAGTGCATGAGCCCTCTGGAAAAGTAAAAAACAAAACAAAACAAAACAAAACAAAAACAAAAACAAAAAAACAGAAAGGTAGGAAAGTGTTTGACTAGTCTTTAAATGATTTCTTTTTTTAATTAATTAATTTATTTATTTAGAGAGCGAGACCCCCAACAAGGTCCTCAGACCACAGTCCAGCCCCAACCTCATCCAGGCAGAACCACAGGCATGCATGTGTGTGCCTGACGTGCCCAGGGAGACCCGGGACGTAAGCCTGGAACCTTCCCACACAGCTTCAGTATTGCTGAGCCTTGCATTACCACCACACCATGGCTGGCCCCATTAGGTGACTTCTTTTTCTGTTGAGCTGCTTCAGCTATCTGTTTTTTTATATGCACGCAAGTATAATACATTAGGAATATGAAATGTCAAGGATAAGGCATGATTGGGGCCGGCTCCGTGGCACAGTGGTTCCCACATGGCCGACCATGGTTTGAATCCCAGTCTCAGCAGCTTGAAAAGCATTATGGACACGTGTACATGCATGCATGCCCCAAATCCTGACAGGATGGAGAAATGGAGGAGAAGGGGTAGCAGTGTGGCCATTCCCCTTTGGAGATTCTTTCTGTCTGTGAGTGCAAACTCTGGCAATAATTTCTGCAGGGATCACAACAACGACAAAGCATAAATGATCCAGCTACCAAGGAAGAATCGTTGGCCTCTGTCAGAAAATTCTGGAGTTGACGAGGGTCTAGCAGACCGGGCATGAGCCAGCGTGGCACTGCTGTTTTCATAGAAGCTGGTGTATAATTTGGGTGACCATATGTTCCAGTTTGCCTGAGACAGTCCCGGTTTACATCTGTCGTCCTGGCGTCTTGTCTAGGTTTGCATTTGCCCAGACGACAGGGTCTTAGAGTCACCGCTGAGGCCCAGGATACAGTCTTACTCATCTTTGTGTCCAAATCCGGGCACTTGCCACAGGGCCTCACTGGGTACATGCCCAACAAAACGCTTGTTAAATAAACCACTGGGAAGATGGTGATTAGACGTTCTTCGGTCACTATCCAGTAAACTTTTATTGAACCATGCCTTGCAATAAGTTCAGGGATGCCAAGACATGTGAGGCTTGGCGCCTGCGCTTGAGGATTTAGAGACTGATGGAGACAGGTCAAAAGGTTAATTTCATAGAGTAGAGTAAATGCCATAATGGGGGTGTGAAACCAGGGCTGGGAGGCCCAAAGGGTGAGGGTGTGTGTGCG